CGAAGTCGAGATAAGGATGACTCATCGGCCACCTGCAAACAATGGACCCATTGTTCTCATGTATTGCATCGCGATGTCAGCTGGAATTCCAAGAAACGCTCTCAGTGGCGTAACAACTAGTTGACCCATGGGATCGAATAAAATGACTTCGACCATTCTGGTTATATGTCACGTGACCAGAGAGGGCTGAACTGAGAGTCTAGAGTCTTGAGTCTTGGGACCGTGAGAAAAACAACTCGAGACCGATATTAAACCAAGGTCATAAGATCATATGGGGCCAAGGCCTATGTGGAAACGAAGTCATAAGATCAACATGAAACTACCGTCATGTATCGAAGATCGTTAGTCAATGCTTGCGTTTAAAGGTCAAAGGTAACATATCAAGGCCGAAGGTTACGGTTTAATATCAATGATCACAATCAAAGGTCACAATCGAAGGTCTCGATTGAAGGTCTGAGGTCGAAGGTATACCAAAGGTCACAGACCAAGGCCACGATTGAAGGTCACGCTCAGAGGTCGAAGGCAATGGTCAAAGGTCACGATCAAAGGTCACGATCAAAGGTCACGATCAAAGGTCACGATCAAAGGTCACGATTTAAGGTCACGATGAAAGGTCACGATTGAAGGGTCATATTTAGAGGTCTCGGTCGAAGGTCTAAGGTCACGATTAAAGGTCATGCTTGAATGTCAAATTTAACGGTCAAAGGTCACGACAAAAGGTCACAATTGAAGGTCTTGGTCGAAGGTACTGTAGCACCTATTATTTTTGACCCCTGTCATATGTAAGATGCTGACGTGAACTCAAACGGAGATAGGTTAGGTTAGACGTCAATAGCTATAGCCAACCATATCGCTATCTCTGTCAGATTCACTAGCTAGCCCATGCTCTTTGTCTAACACATTGATTTCCCTATGTGTGGTCCCGTGGTAACGTAGGTACACTACTATTCACCTCAATTTTGACATCCAAATTGTTGATATACGTTTTGAGCATGAGCGTAGTTAAGTTTCGTCTAATTTGCTCGGACTATTGATATGGTCATATGGGAAAACACCTTTCTTTGTGAGTAGATCGAATTTGAAAGCGTCTAATTGGTCGAATTCTTTTCTCAAATTTTGGAAGCTATCCTTCGTTAAATTGGATGCCAATTCGTCTAAACTGGCACCCAGGAATCTCGAAGATTCGATGAATCTGAATTTAATACCGGTTTCAGAGTTGTGTTGGGTGAAAGAAATGTATTTCCCCATATTTATCGGAAGTACGCTCACCTGTCCACGTTTGGCAATCTCTCTCAGAAGGAAATGAGAATCATATCCGGAAAAATTGTGGAACACTATGGGCACTACGAAGGACTTGCGGTACCCCAAATTACAAGATTGATGCTCCCACCCTCTGAAGGCGCCAGTGAAATGATGGTGGTCTTTTACAATGATATCAGTGCCCGCAAACGCCTTTTCACAGATATGACAGTGTGTTACACCAACCTTATCTGGGAAATGAGTCAGAGGAACAATGTCTTTGATTTTAGACTGTACGAATTTCGCGACATCTGCCATTTCTGTGGCAAACCAATCCATGCAATCAGGACCCCGATGACTCTTGTAATAGGACAAGCTATCATCATATGAGCATTTGAAATAGTACCCTGCGCTGAAGGCTGTGTGTTTCTGATTGGAGGATTTTGCCTACAGAATATGGGGCTGGTTCCCACTTGATACAGCTAGTATAGTAGTTTGATGGAATTAATTATATATTTGATATTTCAGAGTGACATTAATAGTTTTTATTGACTTTTCTCAATTGTATAACAAATTTCTATTACAGTTCATGATAACATCACCAATTGTCTTTATAAAGGGTGAGATGCCCCGCCTTGGAAGGTCTTAACTTTCAAAAATCACAAATTAACAATCTTCTGGCAGAACACAAATTTCCGAGAACGCTCGCTTTATTGTGCCGCTTTTCGTCAAGATCGTCGCTACTCTGGCTACACCCTCGGCTCCTAGATGAACTGAAACGATTCTACCCATACGCCATTTCATGAGCGGTAAATTGTCATCTTTGATAAGAACGAGGCTGCCTTCTTGTAGATTGTACTCTTTCCCTGACGTTTTCCATTTTCCACGTTGCTGTAGTTCGTTCAGGTATTCCTTTGACCAACGATTCCAGAATTGTTGGTATATCTGTTGAATTCGTTGAAACATGCGTAGTCGATTTTCCGGAACTTGTTGGAGATCTTCATCGGGTACGGCCGTTAACAGAGCACCAATAAGAAAATGCCCAGGTGTCAATGGAAGTAGATCTTGTGGGTCAGACGAAAGAGGAGATATAGGTCGTGAATTTAGTACTGCTTCAATTTGCACGATTAACGTATAAAATTCCTCAAACGTGAAAGAATTGTTACCGGCCATTCGAACGAGATGGTGTTTAGCAGATTTTACCCCCGCTTCCCAGAGTCCTCCAAAATGAGGAGCATTTGCAGGAATGAAATGCCATTCTATGCATTCATTTTCAGTCCATTCTTGAATAGTTGAATAATGATTTTTTAGAAATTCAGCGAGCTCTTTTAGTTTCGAACTAGCACCCAAAAAGTTTGTCCCATTATCTGAATATATTCTGCGCGGTTTTCCACGGCGAGATACAAACCGTCTCAGTGCCGCTATGAAAGTTTCAGTTGTTAAATCAGACACAATTTCCATATGTATTGCTTTCGGAACAAAACATATGAATAAACTAACATATGCTTTCATTATTTTGCATCCTCTACCTCTTCTGTCTTTTAGTAAGAATGGACCCATATAGTCAACACCAGTAGTACTAAATACAGGTGCACGTTGAACGCGTTTTTCTGGTAAATTACCCATGATAGGTGTGCCTAGTCTTGGCTTAGCTTTGAAACATCTTATACAACTATGTACAGTTTTTTTGCAAGATTTTTACCAGAAATTGGCCAAAATTTTTCACGAATGTTAGCCAATAATAATCGTGGACCTGCATGTAATAATCTCATATGTTCATGTTTGAATAAAAGAATAGTGAAATGCTCTTTTGAACACAAAATAATTGGATGTCTCTTATTATATTTATAATTTGAATTATCTAATCTGCCACCAACTCTCAAAATACAATTTTCGTCCCATACAGGATTCAAACTCAAGAGCTTACTTTTTCTATCGATAGGCAGATTATTTTTTAGTGATTCAATTTCTGTTTTGAATGAAATTTGTTGAGATATTTTGACTAACATTAGTAAATATTGCTTCAATTCATTTGACGTCAATGGACCTAGTATACGGTCATTTTTTGATAAAAAACAATTACTTCTGAATCTGAAACAATATGCTATGATTCTTTGTAGTTTATTCAACTTAGAATAACTTTTAATCTCGAAGATTCCTGAATTAGTTGAGCTGAAACTCTTCATTTTCTTTTTCAATTCAGGCAGTTCAACTCTCGTGTTTTTTAGTACTGGCCATTCAGAATCAGATTTGGTCAACCAATCCACCATTGTTCTAGTGAAATTAACCTGTCTGGATTAATTCATCGTGATAGATAGTCAGCAGGATTATCTTGGGTTGGAACATGACGCCAATCACTAGTGTTGGTTGAATTTTGAATTTGCGACACTCGATTACTAACAAAAGTTTCAAGCGTACTGGGTGATGTTCCAATCCATCCTAGTACAATGGTCGAGTCACACCAATAGTAAGTCTTTTCAAAATCCACCTTCAGAAAGCATTTCACTTTGTTCATCAAATTCATTAACGTTAATGCCCCACATAGTTCTAGACGTGGAATGGTGATGCTCTTCAGAGGTGCAACCTTACTCTTTGAACAAAGTATTCGACTTAATATTTCACCGTCACTATTTTCTGATCTTATGTAAACACAGGCTCCATAAGCATTCTCTGATGCATCTGAAAAACCGTGTAGTTGTAATTGTTTTGCATTTTTGATAGTCACCTGTCTCGGAATAGTGATTTCATTTAACAAGCATAGTTGATCACGAAAACTTAACCACTTAGTGTGAATATCTGACGGTGATGACTCATTCCATGATAATTTCAGAAGCCATAGTTTTTGTAACATAATTTTTGCAATTACTATATAAGGTGATAACAATCCTAGCGGATCAAGAATTTGGGCAACTCCAGACAAAATCGATCGCTTTGTTATTTTGCCTTGATTATTGAATTTCGCAATTTTGAATTGAAAATAGTCTGATTGACAAGACCAATACAAACCTAATGTCTTAAAATTGTCATCGATTCCAAAATCAACAATATTCGAGTCATTAGTAGAACCCGAAATATGTTGAACAATCCGAATATCATTTGAAATCCATTTTCTTAAATTGAAACAACCACCTTTCAGTATATTTGCTGTTTTATTGGCTATTGTGATAGCTTGTTCAATAGTCTCTGCCCCACTAATGAGATCATAAACATAAAAATCATTTTTGATGACATTAGCAACTTCTGGATAGTCTTGAGT